ATATATATATATATTTAACGCTCTATAGTATTTTCAGAAATATAGAACAAAAATTAAATCGAAAGCGCATCAAAAAAGTACGGATTTAATGAGTAATATACCTGTAGATAAACTAGAAGAATGGAAAGATGAACAATGGGATGAATTTTTGAAGGATTCGGAAACAGATTTTGAAAAATTTAACGATAGTATGGGTAGTTTAACTATATCATGGTTTGAGAAGAAAGAACTGGAATGGGAGGGGTGGATAAAAGCAATGCGAAATAGATGGTCATATTATAACAAACATATGGATGATTGTACACTTAATGTAATAAAAAATTCTCTCAACTGGACAGATTTCCAATGGGATAAATGGATTAGGATGATGAAAGCAAAAGGAACAAAACCAGTTGATAGTTCAGGAGATGAGTATATACTTGATGCTTTTAATAAAAATATAAAATGGACAAATGAACAATGGAAAGAATGGATTAAGACACCGATTAGATTAGCTATAGAAAAGGATTGGGCGTATTGGATTGCTGAAGATCAGTACAAACTAGATAATTGGATCTTGGAAAATTTTGATAAATGGCAAAATAAAAGAATAGGTGAATGGAAAGAGAGAGGTTGGAAATATGAAGAAGATAAATATTGGGATGACTGGGAAACTAAAGGAAGAAGGGTTAAATCGAAAATGATGATAGATAAAAAAAATTGGAAGATATGGAAAGAAAGAAAAGAAAGAGAAGACACACAATGGGATATGTGGATAGAAAAAAAAAAGAAAGGATATCTTAGTAAAGAGATTGTGGAATGGACTAAATGGAAAGCTCAAAAAGGTCATATGTTCAAGGTTTGGGTGGATAACCTTATTGACACATGGATAAGAGAAAAGCAATGGAATGTATGGCTTCACAAGGAAAAAGAAGTAATCAGAAAAAAAATGTATTAACAAAAAAAGGCCTTACCAAAAAAATTAATAAAATAAAATGAATGAACAGGGTTGGATTATTTGTTAATATAACTACGGAAGTATAATTCGAACAAATCATATCCTTTGTAAAATAAAAAAGAGATTAAATAAACGTAGATGTTTAATAGGGTAAAAATTCTTATAATGTTGTGAATTTCTTAATATACACAATAGAGCCTGTCATAAATAAAATATGTATAAAAAAAAAAGAAAAAAAAAGTATACAAAAAATGTTTTAAAAAAATCATCATATGAAGCTGATGTGTGAAAAATAGTATACAGTTGAAAACGTAATTTTCAAATTGGTGTTCTTTAACTGTCGTATAAAATTGTACAGCATTTTATAAAAATTTTTTTATATGTTACCATTTCAAATTTTATTTTAACTTTATTTTATTTTTTTTTGTTGTTGTTGTTCAAGTAAGGTGTCATTTATACGATTATTTTTTGAGGGAACTTTTCCTTATTATATTGAAAAAAAGAATATATTTTTTACGAAAATGTAATGATTTTTTGGTGATTCTGCATCTTATGTATATAAGTGTGTACATGTACACTTATATATATGTATGCATTTATACGCATCCATAAAATTCATTGTAGCATTTATTTATTTCTTTTTGTTTGTCCCTTACAGATTTGATTATAATTATTTACCCATAATGTTTTTATATGTATTATGTCTTCACTATTCAATGTTATCCTTATCAAAATAATTTTTTCAAATAGGCTTTAAATGTGCATATAATTGAGCCGTTACACATGTTTTCTTTATTAAAACAAATTAATACGCAATGTTAGTGCTTTTTGTACATGTTTAGTTACACCATTATATACATGTAAAAAGTGCAATCAATACTAATAAAAATTGCTTTTTTTGTTTTTGCTTTTTTTTTTTTGTTAATTTTTTTATAATAGCCACAAATTGATCATTAAGTAATGAATAATCACATATGTAGATTTATAAATGTGTTTGTGTTTCTTATATGCTAGTTAAATATCTCATTTAATTTTATATTATATAGCTTTAAGAAAACAATTATAAATCTATTTTAAATTACGTTAATTTAATTTTTATTGTTTTTCACCCAGTTTTTTTTTTTTTTTTAACTCTTTATAGAACATATCTTTTCCTATTTTTAATGGCACATTATTTTTTATGCTATTTTGCTACTAAAACAATGAACCAGTTCCCCTTTATTATTTTATAGCCCTATCTCATGATTCTTATTTTAAGACCCAAATTTACAGTTATGCAAATGTTCAAATATTGTTGAAAATAAATTATTTTTATAAAAATCCTCCACTAGGTTTTTTTTTTTTTTTTTTTATATAAAATTAAAAATTAATACAAATAGTCTATTTATTTATTATTTTAAATGAATCATAAGGATGAATATAACAGATAACATGATATATAACACGGTATTAGCTGCTATAACATGACACAATAATTTGATATTCGGGGAATATACTATGCAAAATGAAAAAAAAAAAAGAAAAATTTTCAAAATAACAAAAAAAAAAAAAAGAAAAGAAAAATCATGCTGTTGCAATTGCATCAAACATTACAATTTGAACAAATTGTTTATATATAAATGCATATGCACAGGGTGGAGGTACTTGTCTACATTCTTATCTTTACCAAAAAAAAGTTTTTTCGGAAAAGTTATTTATTTATTATTATTTTTTTTAAATTACGCATTTAAGTATGGGTTCTTCGCATTCTAGATATGTTGTAAAGCCAATTCATAATTTTATTTAAAACTCTTTCATTTCCTGGTTCCATAGTTAACATATGCTCCATATAATTTAATACATGTAATTCTTTATTATTAATATTTAGTCTATTATAGAATGAAACAACACCACCATAATAACACAATTTGTCCTTTAATGAATGAATAAACAATATAGGAATATCTTTTGGCATGTGATTCATATCAGCTTCTAAATTAACCATTGCTCTTAAAAGTTCATATGTAAATCTGCATGTTATACCTCGTCTATAACGCATTCTATCATATCTACCAATATCACGTATATAATTATACTTTTTATATGGAAGTTCCAATAAAAATCTTAATTTTGGTACAATATCAGAAAGTAGTTTTGACAAGGGCATAAAAAAAGCGTTATATAAATCTGAACTTGGTAAACCTAATGCTTCTATTGCAATCATGCCAGACAATGATACACAGCCTTTTATATTTAGTTTTTTATTAAGACCGTTAAATTTTCCTATTAATTCCAATACTCTTAAAACAATATTACCTCCCATGGATTGACCTATCATATATACTGGAAGCGGTGATTTTCTATTAGTTATATTGTAATTACGAGATGGCACACCATCACTACGGTTATTATTAGAATTATTATTACCTTTATTATCATTTAAATATAACATATTTTCATCTTGAATTCTATTAATATATGCTAACACGTCATATACTAAATCATCAAACTCTTTTACATTAAGACTTAAATTTTGCCACCCTTCTGATTCTCCATGACCTTGCAAATCTATTCCGTATACTGAATACCCATTTTTATTAAAATGTTCTATCCAACTATCTTTATAAATATAATAATTATTTCCATCCATTAATATAGCTCTATCGTTATTCAACACATGTACGTTATGTCTCAAAAATGAAAACCTTGCGTGTGAATTTAATCCATGAACTAATACTATAAGGCCTATTGCATTTTTTACTAACCATCCATATGTCTTTAATAGCAATCCATCCTTATTAAAAAATGAACTAACTGATGGTCGTCCATCTAACCGTTCCCTTCTGGGCACTAATTGCATATGAAGATTAGATAATTCATTTTCAACCATTATAATAACACACACAAAAAAAAAAAAA